GTCTGCAGCCGGAGCGGCAGCTTCCGGCGACGCAGACGGCGCGGGACAAAGCAACGAAAAAAAAGCCTCGGCTTTGATTTGCATGACTGCGCCGGATGTACTTGCCGACGGAGCGAATGCCCCTTTCACGTGAGTTTTCTCACGCCCTACATCTTCTATTTCTCCCTGTTCTGTTCTGACTGGAGATTGTTTTTGTTTCTCGTTGTGTGTTCTGCAGCGACGAGCAGTGGAAACAGATCGTGACCGCTCTCGAAGGCTCTGCCTCGGCTGTTGCACCCGGTGTGGTCGGTTTTGCATTGGCGATCGTTGGCCTCAGCATGCTGTGAAACGACAGCTTTTTAAGAGAGGGATGATCCAAGAGGCTCTTTTTTTATGGTTGAGGGAAACAAGGAGTTTCGCTACCTGCTGATGTGTAGAATCCCGCGGATCACATAGTGCACACTCGATGCAAATGAGAAACTCGCGGCTGAGGAGAGCGTCAGGGAAGAGTTGACTTCTGGCGGACCACTTAACTAGCGCAAAACAGTGGCAAAAGCCCGATTATACAGTGCTCGATGAGCTTTTTTGTGTACAGCGACAAGTTATGTTTTTGCCTCTTCCTCTGCCCTGCCGGTGGAGCCGCTGGGTTCCACCATCAGGATAGTCGTGGCTTGGAGGTGAAGGGTTCAGCTCGCAAGTAATTCTTGACGGCTGTAGAGTGAAGGTCCGTCGAATTCAACTCAAACTCAGGTATTTAGAGAGTTTGGGCGTACATCTTTTATACCGATCCAACCGAGGTAGTCAAGTTACCATGGGATAAACTTGTGTCGCTGGCCCTGGCGATATATTGCTGCTTCTGAATTGCTTTCCCGTTTCGCGAAACTGTGAGCCCCGCTGAACTGGCAACAGGGTTGTAGTGTCTTCTCTTTTAGCTGTTGCAAAAACATGGGCTAGTCTGGAAACTACGCGAGTCTCTGAAACCAAGCTGATACAATGGCTTTTTGCAGGCGTCTATAGCATTTCTCCAAAAACAACAATTTATCACTGCAATTCTTTCCTTCACCGATGCGTGTTACTACTGCCACATCGCAACCGCTGCGTTCCCAGTAGGATGCAACAGCCCAAGTCTACGCCAGCAACCTCACAACTTAGTTGCCCGCGAGTGGCGCATAAATGCCCCATTAAAGATTTATATCGGGCTGGGAAACAGAGTTTTGAATGCCAGGATACTGATTAAAGAAGGTTAGGGACGCTAAACTTGAATGTGATTGCAACTACTTCGCCTGCTGTCTCCCGAGAGACTATATGCTCACCCTTCTCCATGAGCTCCCGGCACATGTACCCTAACTATCGTGAGATATGAGCTAATTAGCCCACTGTCTTCTTTTAGTTGAGCAAACTTCAAACGTGATGCGCCGTTGGGGAACGAGGTTGTGGCGCCTAGCCAACACTGTGTAGGTGATCCACGTCCCCTGTATGGGAGGTTGCCGGACTTCGCAGTAGCTCATTGTTGAAATTTATTAGAAGGCAGCAGCAGTCATCACAACCTAAGTTGCAGAAGAGCAACTCGCGATACGGTGCATACACCGATGGTTGCCTAGACCATTTGAGCCAAGCCACCTCTACACGGAAGAATTTGGGACAACAAAGAAGTAAGGGACTAGCGTAGCATTTGATAGAGGCTGTTAATAATGTGTGGGGGTACAATAACATCAGGTTATTTTCCTTCTTGTGCTCCATACGGAGAACGAGTCTNTCTTGTGCTCCATACGGAGAACGAGTCTCGCGTTGTCGAGGCGAACCGGTCACGGTTTGTTGTGGAATGCATCGGGATGCTGCGGAGTGGGCCGAAATTAATTGAAATAGGCTGCATAATGTTCAATAATCCTGGAAACCATACCTTTCATAACATTCCACGCCCGCTGCATGGTGTATGAGCACTGTGCTGCCGAACGGGGTTCTGTTGGACACCAGCTGCAGGCCGGGAGTAGCAGTCCGGCGTCCTGTCTCAACTAGGCGATCACGGCAAAGAACATGTATTTGCGAGTCATTATAACACTCATACAAAACCACAAACAGATTTTTGAATGAGAAATCGGCGCTCTTCTCCCCAGCAAAAAGCCTGTACCTTGATGTCTGTAGTTGGAGTGCAAGACAAGTATACTTGCCTACGTGTACCTGCGAGCTCATTGCTTCGGTATCAGTGACCCTTCACCCTGTCTAGAATGTTTCGTACTGCACTAATAATATGTATTGTTCTTTGCTTATTCGCCCTCCGCTGGGACTGCAAGAGACTGTGTAGCTCAGTTGCAGTGCGCCGGCCTGCCAACCAGGAACAGGAACAGCATCATGCGCACCCCAGGCGCGGGTCGCCTCAAAGCCACTGAAGCAAACGATAAGGTCGTAGTACATGGGATTTAAATAAGGTTTATAGATCTTTATGACCTTTTGGGTTGTGTCTGCGCTCCGTGTTCGGCTACGTAAACGACACCACGGTGACAATGGCACCTCTGAAACTGCTCACGGTCGTCAGTTCCTCGCTCCTCTTCTTGGCCAAAGCACAGGGAGAGCCCCAAGACACAACACCAACATATAGTGTAGCGTTGAGTAGGTTTCCCAGTAATAAGTGCTCTTCACTGCTTGGACCATGCCCTTGGATGNATATAGTGTAGCGTTGAGTAGGTTTCCCAGTAATAAGTGCTCTTCACTGCTTGGACCATGCCCTTGGATGGCAAGAACCCATCGCCTGACAGGGCCCCCATAGTGTGCCCTAAAGAGCATACCCACACGAATGATCTTGGCATCCCGCGAATTCAAAGGTTTCAATGTAAAATTTTTTTGATTGCAAATGATCCGTTACACATACGCGGTAATTTGGTCTCTTTGCTGCAGGAGACGAAGGAAAGTGCCTCGACGAGGTCAATGCTGCTCGCGTGGCAGCTGGGCTCAGCGAACTCTCAAAAGCAGAAAATCCAACACACAGGCTGCCTAAAGAAGGCAGCCCTGAAGAAGAAGAAAGTGAATGGGCCTGGAAACCAGTGTGCGAAGCCTTGATTCCAGTAAGTTGTTTACATCTCTGACGGCCCTCCAAAGGGCATTCAGTGCCTGCGCAAATCACTTCGGTGTTTGCCTATTCTCCTGTTGCATGCAGACCAAGACAAAATCAAAAAGTACTAGAAATTCTGATATAACCGAGTTCCAGAGCGGCACATACGCATACCTTCCAATTGACGATCCCAATTCCGTCGACTGCAAGGCCGTTGTGGATAAGTGGAAGGAAGCCTACACCAACTTTGATGGATTGCCTCCGGCTAACAAGAAAGACGAGCCGCTTTACGACAGTCAGGAGAACGTGTCTTTCGTGGCCCTGTACAATCCTACAGAGAAAGCTACAGCAGATTGCCGTGTCGTCACCTGCACTAAAAAGACGCCTGCAGCGGCCAGTTTCAAAGCAGCAAGAACCGATGGGTCAACAACGGAAACGGGCTCCGCTTTGATTTGCATGACGGTGCCCGATGTGCTTCTCGAGGAGGAAGGAAAGGCCCCTTTCACGTGAGTTCTTTCACCCTCCGCGTCCTCCG